ATTTACTTCCTACATCACAGTATGGAGGGACCACTGAGATGTCCCAATAGTGAAAGTGCCTGCTGTCAAGTCTTATCATCTGAGTTTGATCCCCAAATCCCATACGGTAGACAAGAACCAAATTCCACAAGTTGTCCTCTGACCTCTGCACACACCTTGTACCATGAAGGTGTTTATGTACACACACACACACACACACACACACACACACACACACACACGAATGGTCCTGTAATGGTTGGAAAGGAAATGGCCCCCCTGGCTCAAATATTTCAATGTTCAGTTGCTAGTTAGTGGATCTGTTTGGAAAAGACTAGGAGGTGTGGCCTTGTCAAAGGAGATGCGCCAATGGAGGTGGACCTTGAAGTTTCAAAAGCCCACGCCAGGCCCAATCTCTCCCCCTGGTATGCCACTGGTATATCAGATGAGAGCTCTCATTTAATTCTCTACCATCATCCTGCCTGCTGCCGCCATGTTTCTCACAATGATGGATATGACTAACCCTCCCACTGTAAGCAATCCACCAATAAATACTTTAGTTCTAAATTGGCTTGGTGATGGTGTCTCCTTCCAGCAGCAGAACAGTAAGATAGTTCCATAGGGGAAAAATAACGATTCCCCCTTTTCTGACATAAACTTTTGCTATATACCTCAAACTCAAAGCAGTCCTCCTGCCTCATCCTCTTGAATGATGGAATTATAGGCATGTGATACCATGCACAACTTACAGAAAAAGAGTCTTGATTTAACACTCTGTTTTCAAACAAATAAAAGACACAAAGAATGGAAAAAGCTATAAGTAAATGGTCTCCATTGTTAGTATAGCTTCAGTTTTTGTTCAGACAAGGAAGGGAATGTCCTATATCACAGCAAGTGGCTTTAAGTCTTGAGAAATGAATAGCAAGACACATAGCTTTAGAAGGTGCAATTCAAGGAGCAGATTTAGAAATTTTCATCTTTCTGCCTATCTGAAACTTTTGAGAACTTTAACAAATAAAGACATGACTGCATTGGAAATCGTTTTGTGTAAGTAGGCAACTTTAGCAATCTGGGTTCCTTTTCCCTATTGCAGTGAAACCCGGTGGAAGAAACCATGGTTACACAGAGTCCTTTTATTTGGCTCACACTCTGCATTTTCAGGTCTGCAGGAAACACCTGTAACAGACAGGGGGAACTAACCCAGAGATGTCAGAGATGGGCATGCTATTTCTAGGCAGAGACCAAGAGGAGGGTTGGCGAAGGAATAATGAATACAGTGGGCAGAGAAATGCACTGGAAGGCACATACAAAGAATCTGTTCTCAACCGAGAAAACTCTACTATATTCTTTCTTTTGAGCCTTCAAGTAAATATGAACACTTTGTATACTGAAAACAAAATTGGTCAGTCTTCTTGAGTGTACAAACTGTGGCTTGGGGTTTGGGTTGATGGCAGGAAGAAGGGGACAGAGGCTTCAAAAGCACTACTAGTAACTGTGCTTTAGTATTATTCTCTCATTTTTAAAAGATTTATTTTATTATTTTTGTTTATGTGTATTGGAGTGTGTCTTAGTCAAGGTCTGTGTACATGAGTTCACGTATCCATAGAGGCTAAAAAGGGCATCAGATTCCTTGGAGATGAAGTTACAGGGTTGTAAGGAAAGATAAAGTAGAAGTGTTTGGGGAGAATTTTCTAGTTGTGTTTAGTAAGGTGAGAGGAATTTTGGCCGATGATACCAAGAGAGCTGTCAGGAGTTTGTCAGGGGCTGCATGCGCCATTGCATGCAGATAACTCTCCACAGCACCTTTTTACCTGAGTTTTGATGGTGTTGTGGCATCGCTGGCTTCTGTAAGTTGGTTTCTCTATTAAAGTTGGTAACATAGGGGAAAAATCAAACTTATTATGAAAGAACCAAAAATATAATGAAACAGTGGAGAATCAACACATTTTGTTTGGTTCAATAGTTTCAAAGGGCAACAATTATTAAAATGATTTCTACTGAAAGATTGTGGGGCTGGACACATTGCTCAGTGATTAAGAGTAGTTCTTGCTTTCCCACAGGACCCAGGTTCAGTTCCCAGCACCCATATCCAGTGACTCATAGCCATTTGCAACTCCAGCTCCAGGGAACCAGACACCTTCTTCTGTCCTCCTTCAGTACCTGTACTAACACACATGACACACGTGCATTCATGTGCACACACACACACACACACACACACAGACACATATACACACACATTCACACACATACATACACATAATACATACATACATGTATACACACATACGTATACATACATGCACATGCACACACATACACACATACACACGTACACAGACACACATACACACACACATAAACATGCACATACATACATACACATACACACATGGACACACACACACAGTGAACTTTTAAAATCCATTGGAAGTTCTAATATTATGTTTGAGTTAAAAATCTGTTTCCCCACGACCGTAGTCCACTCAATTCTGTTGCCTTCTGAAGACTCCAGATAAGTAAACATCTGTCAGTTGCTATGTAACCATTTCTTGTCCTTGTGAGTCCACTGTAGGCCCTTCCATTCACCCCACCTCTCCTTTCCTGTTTTGATTGTAAAACATAGTGAGTCTGTGGGATGCTGAATGCAAAGACCCCTGCCTCTGGATGCAGACATGGAATTCTGTCATTTCTTAGTTACAGATATAAATTCTGCCCCTCCCAGAACACTATTCCAGTAGAGGGCTCTAGTTGGCTTTAACATTTTGTGGAGTAAAAATTATGGGAAGGTTTTTGTTCGAGGTAAACGTTCAACATGACATCTCAAATATAATTCCCCACCCCCAGTTTAATTAAGCAAGCTTGGATATGGTTAACTATTCTTTTATCTGTCTGTCTGTCTGTCTGTCTGTCTGTCCTGAAGCCTGGCAGTCTTATGGGAACTACCTTTCCTTAGCCACATAAACATATTACAAGTATTATCTCTTTGGCATGTGTTGGCCAGTGTGTACCATATGCACATGAGCATTTGTGCGCCTGTGAACATGCAGGAGTATATGCATCACATGTGTGTGGAAGCCTGCGGTAAGCATGTGTTGTCTTCCGCTGTCAGTCTCCACCTTACATTATGAGACAGTCTCTCACTGAGCTTGCTCTTCACCTGTGAGCTAGACTCGGTGGCCGGTGCCCTCTGGTCCTCTGCCTCTACCCTGCCCCACCCACAGGATTACTGCAGCCTAGTCTGTCCCATAAACATTTGTTTGAGAAATAATACATGGATGTAAATGATTTTGAAGGGGGGGATCTTCTTTAAAAGTATTTCACCACTAAAGAAAGTACACTGTTTATACTTTAAGACTGTTTCAGCTGTTTACAAACCCAGTGTTTTTTCCTACAGTCTGTTAGTCTCACCTCAAGCACACACTAGATCTGCATCTTCATAGTGATGGAGGCAGAACACTGTGTGGGAACTTTATAACTCTTTGTTCCAAACTTCTGTGAAAGAGTCAGTGGGAAGAAATGAAAGGACAGTAAGTGAAGAAGAAAAGGAGGAACCTGTCCTGCACCCAAGGGCACCTGAACTGCGTTGAGTCCCAGCAGCCCACAATCTTAACTGACTTCACGTCTTCCCACTTACTTTCCTTCTTGGTAAAATGGAGATAAGAGACAACGCCTATTTCACAGGATTTACTAAGAGGATAAAGGGAATGGGCCTTGCCACCTGTGCTTTGGGTTGTGTCTGCTGTGTTCTGCACCTAACTTCATATGCTCCGCATTGATCTGCGTTTCCATAGTCTATTCTTTGGAAACAAAATTTACTATGGATGCGCTGACGGGCTTGCCGAGAAGCTCCTACAGGGAACGTGAGGGGAGGCAAAGAAAGGGTTCACAAGAATACGAGGACGTTGCTGCTTTCTCAGTTCTGTGCACCCTTTCCAAATGGAAAGCTAGGGACGGAAGGAGCGGAAGGCAGATCAAAGTCAGTCCTGGGGAAATTTGTATAGTTTGAGAATAGTATCAATTACTTGCATTGATCAATTTCAGCCTCCACTGTTACTTTCAGGTCAGCTCCTCCTGTTCCATAAGTGGAAAGACCCGTAGCGGAGGATGCAAAGAGTATAAAAAATGTGGAGAAATGGTGTTGTCACAGGCATTCAGTAGGCATGTCACAGGGCTGTGGGCGTTGCAAGCATGGCAGCCAAAGAACAGGGTGTCAGTCCTCGCCAAATTCACAAACGTATCAATTAGAAAAACAATATGAGGAGTATTTAGGGTCTTTATTGCTGGCAAATTCATAAGTTGGGACTTTTCAGTCTGAGAGGACTATGGGAAGATAGGAACTGGCGTTTAAAAACCTGTCACAGAAATTGGAGGTGTGAGGTGTAAGGCTGTGGGAGAGCATGCCCTTGCATGACTGCACAGTACGAATCTAGACTTGTAACTGAGTCAAGGTCAGGGCCTATGTGGAAAGGTGAATTACAGGAGAGAAAGTCAATAAAGATACTGATGGATAGCGAACGGGGTGAAGAGATGGACAGCAACAGGAGCTGTTCTACTTAACTAGACTCCTGGGACCACAAGCTAGTTACAAGGAAGGCAAGCGGAGGCGGGAAAGGAAATCAGGACTGCCTGCTTACAGGAAGGACCGCCTGCGTTCAGGAGTGTACTAGGTGTGAGTAAAGAGAAAAAAGAAAAGGTCTGGGATGGAGGAGTCGTGCGAGAGACGGACATAAAATTCGAACCAGACTGGAACGTGGACAGAGAGGAAGGACTGACCCTAAGTCACCTACAACTAGGAAGTGGGCGCATCTTGGAGGTGGCTAGGGGGTGACAAGTGCCCAGGGTGCAGCTGGCCCCGCCTGACCCTGTTGGATCAGCGGGGTGGGGGGAGGTTGCGGGGGCAGAGGGGGAAGTGTGCTCCGTGCTTAGTGATGTCATCGTCAGTCAGTGCGCGGTGAAATTTAACACCAGCCGGACTGACTGGGCTCCTCTTCTTCCAGGCAAAGCAGCCGGCAGTCAGCAGAGCGAGCGCGCGCCTGCAGTTGCCACCAGCCCCCTCGCAGCACCAACTTGATTTCCCAAGTGGGTGTGTGTGCTTGTTTGACAAATGTTTGGGCGCAGGCTGCTCCCGGGGACTTCCTCCCCTACTCCTTCATCTCCTTCTTCCCACCCCCACCCTCCACCCCGCCTTTCTCCTCCCAGGCCCAAAGCAGAGCGCTCCACTGGACTCACTGAGTCTCCTTTGAACCGCAAGTGAACTCCAGGGCTGCGCTCCCAACCCAGCTCCGCTGTTGCTGCTGCCCCGCTGGCTGCCTCAGGGTGAAGTCTCTCTCACCTCTGGTCCCCACCCACCCACCCACCCACCCACCGGGGGAGCGCGACTCCTTCTACAGCCAGGCACGGAGGAGCATCTTAGCTCCCCGCCCCCGGGTGCTACTTCCTACCCCTACACCGCTTCATCCTCCTACCCCCCCCCCCATTTTGCGGGTTGGAGCATGGTTCTCATGTGACTTTCCCTCCCCCCCCCCCCTTTTCATGGACAGTACCTGCACCTTTAGCAGTTCGGAGCTGGCTTCTGTTTTTCGTTAGTGCTTTGCTGCAGGGACAAATGCATACAAATGCATTTAGGAGCCTACAGGACAAGGCATGGAAAGGTCTCCCCCACCACAAAAACGTAAGTAACCCACCCGCCCGCCGCCGGAGGGGGGAGGAAGGGGCTTTAGACCAACCCCCTCTCTCCACCCTCTACATCCACCGCGCAGTTGGAGATCTGTGGTCCTGCTTCTTGGTACACTTTTTGGCGCCGGGAGCCGGAGAGCTGCCGCGGCACCCTCCTCTTGACTTCTCAACTTGTAAAATACCGTGTTTGAAAGGAAGCAAACTTCTGCCAGCGAGTCTCAGTTTATGCTAAAGCGATCCTGTGGCTAGGGAGGAAAAGCTTGCTGGCCCGTGTCCCAGCATCCCCTAGGCCACTACCCCAAGCACTTTCTGAGCTGCTCTGACACTGTCTGGGCTTCAGCTCCAACTACTCTAGCGCTTCCCTAGCTCCCCTCAGTTCTCCTCTTTCAGCCTTGGCTGAAGTCCTACCTTCCAGCTGTCTCAGGGCACCCAGCCTGGGCTGGGCGATTGCTAGGACTCTAGCAATCCTTTGGATTCTGCAAGCATGGTTTGGGGACCAGGTTGCCAGGTGGTGAGAAGGGATGACTACAGAGCCTAGAAAGCAGGGAACTGCTCAGCTCAGGGTCTAGGGCAGTCACCTCTTTTTCGTTATTATTTTCAGAAGGCAAACAGACATAACTCTCCCATCTGGAGTTGAGACTGAGTCCTGACATATGGTCCGCCAGTGGGGAATTGGTGCTTGCAGCCAGGATAGGGTTGGGTTAGGGAGGGTAGGATGTGAAGAGCATCTACTTTCCCCGGAAGAGCTTGGGCTGGCCCACCTTCTCTTTGGACATCATACCTGCTCCTATCCCACACTGTGGAAATGCGTGATGACTCTCAGCATTGGCTGCCTGTCTGGGCGCCCCTATTAGAGGCCAATGGGTTATACACGTTTTTCATTTGGCCCCCTGAGATACAGGGAGGAAGGCTGCTGAGTTGTAGGGGGGGGGGGAGGGCAGAACCCAGGCTGCCCAAGTCAGCTGAGCGCGGGCAGAATGGAGAAAGCCCGCCTTGTGGCAGTGTTTGTGCATACATGTGCTTCTTAGTCCGGTGCTGGATCGTCAGCTTGCTCTCTGCCCTGACCTCTGCAAGCTTGGTGTGTGATTGTTCCCCACTGCAGGGCAGTTTGCACCTCCAGGCACACCCCCCTTTCTAGGAGACACAATAAATCCTATAGGACGCAATCATGACTGTGTGCCTCAAGATGCTGGGAACCAAGGAGTTCCCAGATGCTAGAAGCTCTTCCTGTGGCCTTCCCAGAGGAGCTCTCTTAGATACATGCCCTTGATCTGGCTTTTCTTGATAAGCATCCCACTGAATGATGACTCTTCCAAGAGAGCCAGGTAGAGTGGGGCTCAGATGTTATCAGATCTTACAGAACAGAATGCACCTTCCAGGTTGGTTCCTGCTGGCAGCCTGCTGTGGGGGATCCCCTGTAGGCTCAAGCTTTTTGGAAGGCCCCCAGGTCCTGCTCAGACTCCAGGACCCTCTCTTCTTGCCAACTCCCAACTCCAAGGCTTTCCCTGAGTCCTTGCACCCAGCCCAAGCAGCTGATAAATCTATGGGGGTTCACAGGTATCTGCTGCTGGCCCCCATCTTGCATGCTGTCCAAGGCTCTTCTAAAGGGGCATGGGACCAACCCTGCATATATTCTTCAGAATTTGAAGTTTGTACTTGGTCCAGATGATTGGGGGAGCAGGGGAGGCTGTGTGGGACAGGGGCAGAGAAACTAAATAGGATTACACACACACACTGCTGGAACTTCTGAAGAAAATGACACCTGGTGGTTGGGTAGTCAGGGCCAGTAATGGAGAGGTGCTGGCCTGGGTAGCCATCCTGGATGGAGTTGCTGGTCTTCCTTGATCTCTGAGGGGATATCCAGAAGCCTAGATGATCGCTGAGTTCACAATTCAGAACTTGTTCCATTACAGAACCAGCAGGCAATGAAGGGTAACTCACCATTAACCAGATTGCAGGTCCTCAAAGCTCCAACCACACACATGCAAAGTGATGGAGCAAAGGTAGTTAGAACTGCACAGAGAACTTGTTTCTAGGAAAACAAAAGTCTTCAGAGTTCTTTAATTTGAAAACATGTCACCTGTACTTGGGAAGGGGCGACACTTTAGAAAAATGTTTGATTAGCCAATATTCGTTATGTCAGGTCACTGAATTAAACTTTAGAGAACACCCTCCCCCCAATGAAATGCCAGAGGTTTCCTTTTAGTCCCATCTTCTTGTGGTGATGTTCTGGAAGTTCCAGTTAGTCACCCAAAAATATTTATAGTTATAAAATTGGACCCATACAGATATTTTCTTTCCCAGGGTTGCTCTTACAATAGATTACTTTGTGACTTTGTGGAATTAATAAAATAAACCCAAAAGGTGTTAGATGCATCAGTTTTACATGTCGGGGCTAGGACTGCAGCTCAAATGTTGAACTGCTTCTCTAGTATGCATGGAACCCACTGTTGCATAAGCCTTCTGTGGATGTTGTGGCAGAAACATATACTTCCCAGTAGGTAGGAGACAGAGGCAAGGGGTTAAATGTTCAGGTCACCTTCAGTACACAGCATCTGGGCCAGCTAGCATAAGAGAGATCTGGTCTCAAAAACAACAAACAAACCAACAAACAAGATTCCTGAGCTGATTGTTATGGTGATGAAAGGCATATTACCTTCTCCATTATTGATATGAAATGCTGTTTTCTAAGTTGCTTAGTTATTTGAGTGTTCAAATAAATGTTTAAAACAAGTGGACATCTTAGGGAGAGTAAGTACAAGTATGTGGAAAGTAATTTTGGGTGTTGTTTAGACAATCTGTTTGGTACTCCGTGAAGTCACAGAAGGTTAGTTTTATAAAAGACCTAGAGGAGTAATGCTGGTTTCTTTGTGACCTGTGCCATGCATCTAGATCTGATATAGAATTTATAACTCTGGGCAAGAGTTGAAATAAGGACCATTTCATTTTTAGTCTACAAAAGCTTCTGCCATTCATTTACTTGTCATTTATTCATTTCTTCAACAAATATTTACCTAACATCGGCTGTGGAGAGTCCACCCTGGTCCCAGGTGGTAGGAATAGAATGGTTGAAAAAGAGACGCAATCACTCCCCTAACGATGTGCAGGGTTCGGTAGAGGAGCAAAGGAAATGGGAACAAGAGAAGGGTGTGTTCAGGAAGGGCTCCAGGAAACCCTGAAGTGTGGGTGTGAAGGAGAGAAAGGGACAGGAGAGGGATGGTCAGAGGGGAAGGGGGATGAAGGGAGAGGCAGAATGATTCAACCAAAGGAAACCCAGGCAGAGGCCAAAGCAGAGAGAGGATGGGCTCTCCATACCCTCTGCATCAAAATGTTCAGATGTGACATGGGGCAAGCGGGGTACCTGAAGGCTTGAGAAAAATAGTTTGAGCACCATTTCCAGGAAGAAGTAGCCGAACTGGAGGTACAGGAAGAAACAGAAAGGGATGAAAGGCCTCTGGACCATGTCACTTTCCTGGCTGGACAAAAGGAGGGCAGAGGGCACAGCGATTTCCTTGATCTTGCAATCAGTGAGCAGATATAAATCAGGCAAAAAGTAGGTTCATTCATTCAAAAATCTTTAACAGTAATGCAGGCCTGTTTATCGCTGCCTTGATGCTACTGGCTGGTGTATTTTTCTTCCCTTTTCCTGACTAGACTCCAGCCTCTTTGACTGCCTGACATCCTGAAGCATTACCCTCCTGCATTCAGGAATTGCTCAAACACCTAGGATCAGATGTGCTGTGTGAGTCCTTCAAACTGACTTCAGTTGACAGTCTGAGAGACTTCACTGACAGCGCTTTTCCCCAGGAATCATCCAATTTTGATCCCGTTGCTGGGATGAAAATTCCCCTCAGTTATTTTGAGAAAGACAGATTTTTTTTTATTATTATTATTTCTGGATCTTAGCTGTTGTAAAACACAGCATCTATAAAGCTGTCAGGACAAAGACATTTTTGGCATAAAAACCAAGAACCAGAGAAACTGTTGAAATGCTAGATGTGTGTTACATGTGTGTTTCTCACATTACTTCACGCTTCTCAGCTGGTTTAAGAGGCCACCAACTCATCAAAAAGTTTGCTATCCCAAAAGTTCACAAGTCTTTCTTGCTATTGTAAACTTCATCTTCGTAGAAATGAATGGTGGTAACCAAAGACACGTACCATATATCCGAAGGATCTCATGAGTACCCTTAAAGAGAGACTGCTGGCATTCTCCCAAAAGGACTGGACTTTTATGACAAAGGAAAAATTGAATAGCTCCTTAAGCTGCATCTAGGGAAACTCTTGGGAAAGGAACTAGTTCTTCAGATGTTCTAAGGATGACCTTTGGATGTCTATTTTCCAACTAAATTTAGACCTTCACCTGGCTACTCTGGCTGGTTACATTTTGATGTCAAACTGAATAACTAAAGGTCAGGCTAGCAGACTGAACCCAGGCCCTTTTGTGGTTTATTAGACATCCTTAGATACTGTGGGCTGTCATTTTTATATCTTTATTAAATTTTAGTGATCATGATACTGAGTTCTTTTAGGCTTGATCAGTTTTATTAAATGTTTGGGAATGCTGACTTCTAAAATTAACCTTACACAATAGTCCTCAAACCTGTTTGGCACATTAGGCTCACCTGGTAAATATCTGAAAATACAGGGCTGGGGGGATAACGTAGTCTGTGGTGTTTCAGCCCTACCATCCACTTAAGGTAGATCTGCTGCAATAGCATACAGCTGTCATTTTAGTGCCATGGAGGCAGAGACAGGAGGATCCCTGGGACTTAGGGTCCTGTCAATCTGTCCAAATCAGTGAACTCAGAGGCAACAAGAGACCCTGTCTCCAAACATAAGGTGAAGAATAACTAAGACCAAAACACTGGGTGCCCATCTCTGGCTTCTACACACACACACAAACACACATGCACACACTTACACAACATGGACACACTCGTGTACACTGTATGTGCCATAGACATCCTAAAACCAGAATATTTGTGAGAGGGGAGAGAAGTAACCAAGTATTAGCAAGCTATTAAACCCTGAAATGATTCTAGGATGCAGCCAGAAAACCATGTACATCATATGAGACAGCTCTTGAGCATCACTTGTTCTGAAACAGAAGAACACAGATGGTCCTCTATTTGGCAATGTCAGCTTCAGAGATGCCAATCCTCACACCACAGTACAGACTCCTGATTGAGGAGTGCTGTGGCTTATGGTAAGGTTGTAAATGTCTAACAGGTTTTTATTTTTTGTTCTTGTTTTCCCCTCTTAGGAAACTGCTTCTTCGTGTTATTATACTATGTGTGGTGTGCATTACTGTTCATGCACAGGGACAAGGTAAGGGGGTTTATCTTGTTACTCATTTTTTTTTTCTTTTAAGAATATTTCTGAGCTGAGTGTGGTAACATAAGCCTGCAATCTTGGCATGTGGGGGAAAAAAGAGACAGGAAAATATGGGGTTCCAGACAAGAATGGTAGTTGTCTTTCTAATTACTATGGCAAAAGCTACTTAAGGAAAGGATATGTTTATTTGGGCCCACAGTGTGAGGATGCTGTCCATCATATCAGGGGAAGCAAGGTGTCAGGAGCTTGAGGCAGCTAGCTGCATCGCACCTGTGTGCACACGCTCAGTTCACTTTCTCCTTTTAATTCAGTCCAGGACCCCAGCCCATGGAGTGGTGACGCCGACATTTAGGGTGGATGTTCCTATCTCTATTAACTCAGTCTAGAAACGTGCTTGACAGATATAGTCAAGAATTTATTTCCATGGAGATTCTAAATCCCACCTAGATGACAGTCAGGATTTACCATCAGGGATGGTCAGACTTGGCTATCTAGCAAGTTGGTCACCAGCCTTGGCTACATGTGACCCTGTGTCAAAACAAACAAACATTTCTGTCTGGTTGCAGCATCTACTAAGTCATCATAACCTGGAATTCAGCATTAGAAAATAATAGAAGATCATAGCCAGTGTTAAGGGGGACACAAGGGTACCAAAAAACAAAACAAAACAAAAAAACTTCGATTTGGGCGATAATATGACCTTTAAGAAATCACTCAGATCTTCCGTCTGTGAAATTACTTGCATTTTTAAGCAAAGTCTCTATAAAAGGGAAGTTTTGTACAGTGGAAAGGCTTTGCTTGTGACTTCATTGCAAGTGGGAGTTGCTGGGGGTGGCAGGCTGTAACTGAATAACCTTTGCCCTTCTTGAAACAACACACGCATGTAATAAATGTTCCTTCTGGACTTGCATCGTTCAGAAGCAAAATCTGCCTAGTAGTGGGCTGGGAACATTATTTCATTCCTGTGGGGTGGTCTAGAAAATAGTGTTTCGGTTTGGTCTTCTAGTTTGTTGCACTCGGAAATCTTTGTATATCCTGCTTCATTTATTAAACAACATTTTAAACTGTTTCCCAATAAATATCCAACTACCCAATGACTGAAGTATAAATACAAATATATACCTGGTTTCGAGTGAAAATAGAAGTGGCTTTGCCAAAGGTTCCAAGTTTTCTCCAAAGAGGAGCGCCAGGAAGCGTGCTGCATGTAAGACATTAACAGCATGGGCCCCGGCTTGCTTCCCCCTCATTTCTCTGTACCCCATGCAGCTGCCCCGTTCAGATACAATCAGCTTTTCAACCGAGTAATAAACTCAACGAGCCAGCTGCGACCTGAGGCCATCAACCAAATGCCAATATGAAAGAATGACAAAGACATTGCAAATGAGATATGTATTTGCAAAGAGAAGGTGTACAAAGGAAGGGATGGTCTTCTATCTAACAGGCCAAAGTGGTAAAGCCCATAGGGGCTGCAGCCATGGCTCAGGGGTGGAGTGCGTGCTGGACTTGCAGTGGATCGGAGTTCCGTTCCCAGTACTCACTTTGGTCTGCTCACAGCTGCCTGGGACTCTAGTTCTAGAGGAACTGGCCCTTTTCTGCCCCACAAGGATCACCCACTTGCATGTGGCATGCACACACAGGGACAAATAAATTAAAGCAGGAGGATATCAAAAAAGTATGTTTTATAATGAGCACAATTATGACTTGCAACCTTAAGATGGCCAAATCGCACTTTGAGCCGGAGTCTCAGAGAGGATCTCGAATTATGTCTGTACTTGTGAGAGTATCAGAGTAATGCAAGAATGTGCCTTAAGGGGAAGTTGCACTGGGAAACCAAATCTTTTACATTTTATATTGTCCTCATTCTTCCCCTCCTATCACCTCAATATAAATGTATTAGTTCTTGGCTATTATAATTTGCCTTGTCATATCCATGTGAGCATTAGTGTCATTGACCTCTGTACATTCATAACTTTTTATTAGCAATGCCTCAAGATTACTTACTGTTTGTTCCCATTGCTTTTATATGCATCCTGTGACATGTTAGTTATTTGTTCATATACTACAACATATTGTAAAATACCTCTGAAAGAAATTCCCCCTCAACACACTGTAGTTCTTGAACAGTTCTTAACTTTTGGTTTTACCTTATGTTCTTGGAGGCATATCTCCTAGAAGCTCAGTTTTGTTGACTGTACATTGTTTAGTTCTCCACCCTGCCTTTGTTGTTGGCATCTCTCCCCATGTTAGGTCATTCTCTCAGGACTTCCTTCTTTTGGCCCCTTCCCTTGTGCGTGTGGTGTGCATGGTGCAGTTGCATCCTCTGCGTACGTGCTGAGCTGGGCAGCTTCTGAGGCTTGCATTCCTGAGATGTTGTGTGTCACCCTCACGTGGAAGGGGGATTGTGTAGGTGAGGAGAGGGTTTTCTTCTGTAAGATTTTTCTTCTCTGATGTTGAAAGGCTTTCATGGATTTTTGTCTTTTAGCTTGAAGGTCTGTTGTTTAAAGTTGATAGAGTAATTCTTGGTAGTTGACTTATGACCTGTTCTTTCTCTTGCGATTTTTTTTTATAATCATTTGTTTTTCATGCTTTGAGAAGTTTGTTATAATATGTCATGATATGAGTCTCTTCATTCTGTTGGGTACACAATGGGCCTTTTCAGTGTGGAAACACCATTCACTTTCTGGAAAATTCCCTTTATTGTGTCTGTGTTTCTAATGAATTCCTTTTATTCTGCAATTTCTGATGCATATTTTGATCTCCACAATCAAATTGTTTATTTTTTTTTTTTTACTTTAAGATCTTATTTTCCATCTTTGTTTGGGTAAGACAAGAGCCTGTCCTGGGTTACTCTTTTGGACATTTCTGTTGATCCGAATGTTGCCCCTCACCTCTCAGATTTCTCTTGTTCCTGTTTCCCAGATGCATATCCTACTCTAACCTCACTAGGGGCAAAAGTACTATTTTGAATTTTTCTTCTTGTGCTGTCTATTTTCTCCCAAGTTTTCTTTATTTTGGTCTGATTTTTATACTGTAGATATTCCTTGAGAATCTGAAGTTGCCTCTGTGATCATTTCAAAATAAAACAGTAAAAATACATTTGGGAATTATTTTCACAGAGGCCTGACAACTGAGGTGTTGAGGTGTTTCATGTGAGATTGTTGAAGGACAAGCCTGGCTGGCTGCCTTTTTTGCAACCCAAATGTCTGGATTCATAGAATGTCTTTACAGAGGACCCCCAGTTTTACATGTGTAGAGTCACAGTGGTTACGACTATTAGAGTTCAGTGATCAAAAGAGTCTGTGATGAAGGATTGTCTTCTAATGTGTTATGCACGTCTCTCCTGAGTCCCTTATTCTGAATATGGTGCTTCTACACCTTCTGCTGTGATTGGATCGTATTTCAACACCATCTCTCTACTTTCCTATTATGGTCTCAAGGTTACTTATACAAATGCTTAGCTACTTCCCACTATCCCAACACCCCGATGTGAAATCCTAAGAATTCAGTGAACTAGCACTTTTCATTCCTGAGCCCTTCAGGACTCTGCCTGAGTTGACCAGTTGTCTGTGATTGTCTGCCTCTGCAACCTTAGAGCTCACTTTTTCAGCTCCTTAATGCATTAAAAAAATCTCTGAATGTCTTTGTCTGCTGCTGTCTCTTCCAGTCACCCACTTCTTCTGTAGTCTTGAACCATATTTTCTTCTTTTCCTCAGAAAGACCATGAAGATTGAATGGGGGGGAAATATCTGTGATTTTCTACAATTTCTGTTATTTCTCAAATTTTAACAGCCAAGAAAAGCCATTTTAGCTATCATCTTAATAGATATGAATTCTCTATTTGCCTTCCAGCCCAGTGTTGGGTGTAAGCTAGTGAGTGAGTCTGTTTCAAGCTAAAAGTGACTTATAGAAGATGACGTTTGCTGAAGATTTGCTGGTCTGGGTAGCTTTCTGCTTGCTGCAACAATCCCTTCTTCTTGCTGCCACTGGCTGCCAGTGAGATGTGGTAGAGAGATGTGCTGTCGCCTCACAGTGAGTCAAACTGGGCAGATGGAGCAACTATTTCTCAAAAGGCATCTCTGGTTCATGACCCCAAGTGTGGAAACACATGTAGAAACAATGTAGACACTGCTGATCTAGGAGAGTGTCTCCTGTGTACCTTAATTTAACGTCACATGGGGCTGCTCATTCTAGCTACAGGAACTCCACCGACTTCCACCAGGCACTTCATAAGTTTTTATTATGTGGCTTAAAGCTTTGTTTCGCACTTTATGACTAAGTTTGCACTGATCCGTTTATACACAACAAATGTGTTACTTACATTAAGAAAACTTTAAAGGAACAATTGTTGCTTTTAACATACCCACTGTGCCAAAGGTGTCTAAGGACACAGGTGTTCTCGAACCATAGCCCAGATCTAGGTTATACTGATGAGTAGTTATGTGACCATGAACAAATTCCTGAAACACCCTGAGCCTCAATTCCAACAGATCAAAGTGAAGATAAGAATCACATTATATGTGTTTTAGGTTGAAAGACATGAGATAAAACATGTAAAGTTTAGATGATGACAGTGCAATAAATTTTCCCAGAACGGAAGACCACAGTCTAGACCCACTTCCCATATCCTCGGAGATTTGAAAAAGTAAAAGCAACTGATCGTAAATCATTTCCTTTAGTTCTCTAACTCAGTGACCCGGAGCCAGGGAGCTTATATCTGAGTCATGATTTTGGCACTGTTTGGAAGTGACTAAAACAAACCCTGCAAAATGAATATAGGGAGGCTGTCTGGTTAATTGGTCATTTTATACAAATTGTCAAGGAAAAGTATGTTGAGTACTGTGTCATCTTTCTCATAATCCTGGTGCTTTCATTTTAAATAAACACTTTTTAAAAGTTTTCTTTGTTTACTTATTTTTAAATGTCATATATACATGTGACATACTTTGGTCTTATCCGCCTACCCAGCCCCTTCTTCAAACTCTTTCCAGGACCCA